TTTGCTCTCTTGTAATCATAAATACCATTATAGTTCACGAAAATGTGGATAATTCATATTCAGCGAAACATTTAAGTCATGACACATGGTTTAGTTTTAAAACTTGTACATGCAATGTAATTTCACATTTCCACGTGCATGCGTAATTTTAAGTTGACAATGCGCGCAAATAACAAGTCTCCGAAAAAGACGATTTTGATTGTAATGATCCTTGATGTTTCTTCACCACTATTCTAGTTCTCATTTCGAGGACGTCGCTTTCCTTGGATTCGACTTATATTTACCTGGCGGATGTTGCCGAGGAAGCAAGTGACGCTTACCCTTCCGAAACACCTGGTCTTATTCCCCTAATACGTTTTTCAATCGAGTTTGAATTATGGTTTTGTACACACATCGGTATATCTGTTTATTTTCATAACATAAACACATCATATATTATATACCAATATCCTCATTGGTTGAATCATAATCACGTGCAGCTCGGTATTATGTGATATTGACTCGGCGTTTCTATTATTAGAAACACCATATCTATATTACTCTAAGGCGTTATCATTTGCAACGTTCCAAAGCACTCTGACAAAATTAGTACTTATTTCTAGGCAATTTGCTTACGCTCTGTCTTCTTTAAAATAAAATGTAAAAACATGTTAATTTCACATCGAATATAACAATTAAGGAATTAATACCCTCTCCTCCTACTCATTATCATTCATCAGCATCTTCACGTTGACATTGTATATTGAGATGATTTTTATTATTCACGCTGATCATCCTGATACGCATAAGCTCATACAGACTTTTTCGGAGTATTATCTGGTGTTTATTTTCTTGTTTTGTCCTACAGTAAAACTGTATTCGTTTTGACACAGCAGATTTAATCCTTTATAATACGTTTTTTGATTTTTGCCTGTGACACCGATGATTGATTTCAAAATAAATTTCCTCTTCTAAATCGTTAGTAAAAAGGTTATTTCATGTCGCGGCATCCAGTATCTGTATCATCCTCCCTCGATCGATTACAAAGCTCATGCAATCATTAATTCTTAGCTATGCTATCTGCCTAATATAATTCAATCATATTGTCTACAATGTACTGTAAAAAATCTGCCATCGAACTCAACACAGGTAATGACAACCGGGAATTCAATCGGTCTCACAATTTCCATTTCACATTATATTTTTTAGTACGAGTTTGTAAAAAGCGAGGATTAAGTCGACAGAATCATTGATTTCCTAGTTGACAATAACTTTCATGAAGTTAAGTAGCGGGATTTTCCCCAGCAGACTGTCTGCAATACCAATGGGGACAGACTGTGTGCCTCATTGTCCGACTTGGTTTTGTTTGTAAATGAGCTTTGATTAATCGAAGAGCTTATCAGGAGTGGTAATAAAGACCTTGCTGATAACTTCAATATCACATTCAGATATATCGACAATGAGCTATTGACAACGTCGATAGTATCAGTAGATACATCCTCATGAACTTTTTATCATAGACGCTGTGCAGTCTCTTCTTCATCAGTCGCTTACACCGTTGTTAAATTGATCTGTGCTGCATGATCAACAGAAACGGCTTTAAAAATGACGGTTTCCTTTTTCCGAGCGTGAACTTTCCCTTTCTTCATAGTAGCATCCTTACCTACCTTAACTTCGATGTCAACATGTCGTCGTTATTTCATAATCACGGGCTTGATGATTTAAATATCACGGTTTACGTTATAAATATCGAAAAAAGCCGAAAAACGTACCACAGAGTTTCGAGAGATCCAGGTTGGTGGGCAAGTTTTATGGTCGCCATAACGATCTCATGGAGAAATAATCTTTTGTGTAATATTAATATCGACTTTTTGTTATGCTCATTTGTTATTTCGCTGCCCCTATATCTTCTCTTTGGGTGTATCATCGATAAGACATCATTTTAAGTATATTCAGTATCGAAATTCACCTTAATTTCGTTTTTGGATATAACTGTAGTGCAATCGGTACTACCGCAGTCGGAAACATTCGGCACTCTCCGTCGTTTACAGAAAGTGCCGACGGTTCTCGATTGGATACTACCGTTGGCCAGGTAGCTCATGATCAGTTGGTTAGAGCACGGATTTAGGTTATCTAAGTCCGTGGTTAGAGCAACAGTTTAACAATCGGAGGTACCCGGTCAAGGCTTCCTTTCCACACAGAACACTGTTGTTGTATACAATTTGCTTATTTCATCTTTATTATTTTTCATAAAAGTCCGGCAAGGTATGATTTTCTTTTCAAAATGATTTATCAAAGCTACAGTCAAGTCAGGCAACAAGTTATAATGCACGGTTAGAGATTTTTGCAATGGGACTGGGATCATTTGTTAATGAGAATTTAACGTTCCTATCTTTGGCGAGCAATTTCCATCTTGTTCTAAAGTCAAAATGTGTAGTCTTCGTCTCTCCAGTATCACTTAATCCATGTACCAGTACTACACCCGATATATTGAAAACATGCAATTCAAAAATGAATTTTCATTTTTCATTTTTTCAATTTATGTAATTTCTTTGAAGAAAATATGCTACCTCACACACTGTAACAAGGATAAGAGCTAGAGTTATCTTTCCTGTGAAACTTTCCATTAGCACTGTCGAATATGTGTAAGTTCATATTCGAAAAAGTGTTTTTAACTGATTGAGAAAAGAATGAAATGTCTTCCGTGAAGATTGCAGCCTGTCAGGTAGGAAACCCTGGGTAACTATTTTATTGGTTAACTCATTCACCCCTGCATTTTTACACTGGACTTGCCCAGTCTTTGATTTGTTAAGGTTCCATTGTGAATTTAGGGCTGAATAGATTAACGAGACACTCCTATCCAGAATATGTTAATTTGAACAGGCTGTTGCATGTTAGTTCAATAAGCAGGGGAGACTGGAAGCTGACATTGATTGCGGAGAGGTTGGTTGTATAATGTACATTACTACATGTACAAGTGCTTGTATAATGTACATTACTACCAGGTACAAGTGCTTGTATAATGTACATTACTACCAGGTACAAGTGCTTATTTTTTTCGTCTTTATTTTTAATCCCTCAGAACAAATAGGGGCTGTCACATGTACAAGTGCTATGGTCATCCTGCAGGCAAAGGTCAAGATATGAAACTGTGATATATTCTGAAATTCAAGTTCTGGAAATATATGAGAAAAGAGATGGTCAAAACTATTTCTTTTAAATTGATTTAATATTAAATTGATTTTAATAAATTTAATTTAAATTCATCAAAATTTAGCACTGCATGCTGCATATACAGTATACATCAGGCACCTGGAATTGAAATACAAGGTATACAATTTTACAGAAAGACAAATAGTATTGTTTCATTTTCTGCAGTATCAAATATAAATAAAATATAAAATACTGTACAATTAAGAGATTTAACCATTGTTATAAAACTGTTTCTGGGTGTTTTACTTTCAGCAGTGTTGGTGCAAAAGAACAAAATTTTGTCCCACCATCAGGACAACAACATTTGGGTTCTGTTATTAGCAGGACCAATGAAATACCAGGTATCTGGTTTTCATCAGTAAGTATCATATTTGTTTACTCCAAGTTAAAAAAAGAAACAAGTGGCCCAGAGGCCTGTATCGCTCAACTGGATATCTAAGCAATCATGGCAAAATATTCCTCAAAGAAGATCCCAGGGAAAGGGCCAGACCCGGGGTCGAACTCTTGTAGCATATCTGTATTAGATTTTTCTTGTCCAGCAATTGTATGTAATGTGGTTATGGGCTGGGGATCTCAACTTTTCCAAGTTGTGACTCAGAAACTAGGTCCCTAGGGTTATAGCCAGACCCCTGGGTGAATTCTAATATCATGACTGCATTCGTTTCTTTATGCCCAGCATTTCTATATATATATAGATTTGGGGTGGGGATCTCAACCGCTTCAAAGTTATTACCCAGGTGTTACGTCTCCAACACTGGAACAGACCCCGGAGCCAAGAATATGTGCATTCGTTTCTTTATACTCAGGAATTGTATATATGATTATAGGGTGGGGATCTCAACTCAGTCCCTATGGGTGTGGCCAGTCCCATGGGCCAATGCTAATATCATAATTGTGTTCGTCTCTTTATGCCTAGTAATTGTATATTTATTTAGTTGTGGGGTGGGGATCTCAACTGTTTCAAAGGTATGGCCAAGAGACTAAGTCTTCAGGGTGAGGCCTGACCCCCAGGGCCATCCTGGAAGCATATGTGCATTCATCTCTTTATACTCAGCAATTGTATATATGGTTATAGGCTGGGGATCTCAACCATTTCCAAGTTATAAACTATTTTTGGCCTCACCCCTTACCCTGGGGGAGTCAGCCTGTCCCTTTGTACAATTGTTTATCCCCACAACCTAGGGATGCTTCCTACAAAATATGGTTGATATTCATGCTTAGTTCAAGAGAAGTCACTTAAAGCAAAATAGCCAAATTAACTTTTTTTGCCTGCCATTCAACCCCCTAGGGAGTCAGCCGAACCACTTGTATAATTTTGAATCCTCACCACCTAGGGATGCTACCAGTCAAATATGGTTGATATCCATCCATCGCTTAGTTCCAGAGAAGAAGTCACTTAAAACAAAAATAGCCAAATTACCTTTTTTGGCCCCGCCCCTTAGCCCCCTGGGGAGTCAGCCCAACCATTTGTACAATTTTGAATTCCCACCACCTAGGGATGCTACCAGTCAAGTATGGTTGATATCCATCACATAGTTCCAGAGAAGAAGTCAATTAAAGCAATATATAGCCAAATTACATTTTTTTGCCCGGACCTCAGCCCCCTGGGGAGTCAGCCCCTCCATTTGTACAATTTTGAATCCTCACCACCTAGGGATGCTACCAGTCAAAAATGGTTGATATCCATCGCTTAGTTCCAGAGAAGAAGTCGCTTAAAGCAGTTTATAGCCAAATAACACCTTTTGGCCCCGCCCCTCAGCCCCCTGGGGTGTCAGCCCAACCATTTGAACAATTTTGAATCCTCACCACCTAGGGATGCTACCAGTCAAGTATGGTTGATATCCATCACTTAGTTCCAGAGAAGTCGCTTAAAGCAGTTTATAGCCAAATACCAGTAACACTTTTTGGCCTCGCCCCTCAGCCCCCTGGGGGGTCAGCCCAACCATTAGAACAATTTGAATTCCCACCACCTAGGGATGCTTTCAACCAAATATGACTGATATCCATTGCTTAGTTCCAGAGAAGAAGTCACTTAAACCAATATAGCCATAAAACCCTTTTTGGCCCCACCCCTCTATTTGTACAATTTTGAATCCCCACCTCCCATGACTGCTTTCAGCCAAACATGATTGATATCCAGTGCATAGTTCTAGAGAAGAAGTTGTTTATAGCAATAAAGCTAAATTGACCCCTCAACCCCTGGGGGGTCAGCCCCACCATTTGTACAATTTTTAATCCCATCCACCTAGGGATGCTTCCATTCAATTTTAGTTTAATTCCAATCAGTGGTTAAGAAGAAGTCGTTTGAAGAAATTGTTGACATACGGACAGACAACTGACGATGGACGACAGATGGACGATGGACGACAGACGGACGACGGATGCCACGGTATGGCCTAAGCTCACCTTGGTCCTTTGGATCAGGTGAGCTAAAAAACTAAACCCAAAGGATCTGTATTCTATGCTGGAATATAATATGACCCAGTTTTGCATGTGGTTTGGTTTGTGTCCTATTAACAGCTATGGACATTTATGGATGAGCCAGGATTTGGTTGTGGAGGAAAACTGAAGTACCTGGAGAAAAACCATCAACCTGCGGTCTGAACCTTGCAACTGCCCCATGCAGGCCTCGAACCTGTAACCTACTGGTGAAGGGCCTAGTGATCATAGACAGTCAGACACCTTAACAACTCGACCACCACGGCCCCTAATTTCACCTGTAGTTTACAATGTTTTTGGTTTAACCCTATGATAACAAATTGCTTCACTGAGATTTCGCATTGAAACATGAATTACAATGTATCTTGTTTCACTGTTACGATTTCCCCACAGCTGGTAAGGTAACAGTCAAAACAGAGGCCTTTTTGCTGAACTTTGCGACGGCATCATCATCCGTTATCTGACAGGGGAAACATAGGTGAAGGTCATAGCGGTCTTCCACTGTCAGCTGAAGGTCATCCTGAAAAAAAATATATGAAATTTAATTTTGACTGAAAAATGCCTTCTGTGAATTTCCTTTTCCGACAATAATTTGTTAATATTTACATATTTTTTTGAGAAATAATTTTGATGATATAGAAAATTGATTGAATTCTTTAGTTAGATTAATTCAAAAACAAAATCTTAACATTGAGAAAAGTATCAAATTTAGTCCTTTTATATCTAGGCAGGAGAAACCCTGCTACATGCAGTACAATCATGAAAATAGAAGTTTGGAATTCACATAAAGTGACTTACAGCTATTATCTTTTATTTGACCTGACATACAAAATAACCCCTCTCACCTTTGATATATCAAGTTCACAGTCGGCTACACTTCTCACTCCAGGGAGCTGAATTTTAACAACAACCTGATCAATGTCCCCACAATCGTTCCGTATGGGATCCATCGTGTACAGGGGACATGTGAGTTTGGAGTTACTTTGAGAGGAAATCTCCTCAATGATTCCAGTCTTTCTCACTTCAGTCTGATTGGGCATTTTAATAGTCGGAGATCTAGAGTCATTGTTTGTTCCCATACCATGCCCATTTGACTTTTGGGAATTTCCACTTTCTTCTGTCGACAAGTTTGCTAATTTATTCAGTAAGGAATTTTTCGCTCCGGCTGCTAAGGGTCCAAAACTTTCTTCTAGTTCTGATAACTGTTCCTCAAATTGCTGCTCGCTTTTTTGTGCCTTTTTTGAAAAACTTTTATGAAGCAGAGTTATGTCCCCTTTGTGTGTAATGTCACAGGATAGCAATGTAAAACTTCTGGAAACTTCCACTTTGTGGTGATGTTCGATAAAATCAATGGCTAAATTTATCAGAGTGTCACGATCTACCAAAGATTTTGTATCGTGGCCATACTCTTCAATTACTTCAGGGTTGAAAGCACATGACGTCATAGAATAAAATCCTGGAAAATAGAAATAGTAAGCTAACTCAAGTTATGTACAGGTATTTCCAAAAAAGACACAAAGTATTGATCAATCTCAAAATTTGAAGTTATATTTATCTATATTGACTGAAAAAAGGATGATAATGGTTTGTTTTCTTTTGAGAATTTGATGTTAATCTCTTAGTATATACACATTTGATAGTAAATTAAAACAGACAAAAATAGCTGAAGGATTAATCTTATAGAATGCATATTCATTTATACTTTATTGACAGTGATTAACAATTTAAAAAATAACAATTAATTAACATTTTGTTTTTAGGTCACTAGAGACAAAGTTAAAAATTTAAAAATTTAAAAATTTAAATCGACTTCTACTCCTAAACCCCTGAACCAATTTCAATGAAATTTTGCAGAAACTTTCCATGGCCAAAGGTCAACAAAAATTTCAAAAATCTTCTTCTCAAGACCCAGATATGGAACAATCAAATACTCTTCATAGATGGAAGGGTCTTAAGGTGCTCTATCAAAATTGTGAATTTCTTGACCCTGGGGTCTCACGTTTCCCCCTGGGGAGGGGGTAAACTTTACTATAGTTTATATAGGGAAATCACATTTTGGACCAACATTTGTTTAATTTCCATTGGAGGTAATTCAATTTAGGTTAGCATTATCAGTATAGGGTAGCAGTTTGATGGTATGCACATATGAGCCCTGACTGACCCCCCGGGGCTTTTGGGTGGGGCCAAAAAGGGTCGAATTGACTGAAATTTAAAAAATCTTCTTCTCAAGACCCAGATATGGTAGAATCAAACACTCTTCATAGATGGAAGGGTCTTAAGGTGCTTTACCAAAATTGTGAATTTCTTGACCCTGGGGTCT